AAAAAAAAAAAAACGGGAGTGTGGGAGAAGTTCAGGGAGGGGCAAAGAAGAGACGAGGTCCAGAAACTTTTCTAACTGCTGGTGAATGAATGCCTCCCCTCTACGTCTGGAAACCCAGCCTGAAGCAGGCATTTTTGAAATCTCATAACTGATCCTCAAAGGTAATTTCAGTTGTACGTTTTGTGTGCTAATAAGACTTCGGAATTAAACTGAAGGTGGAACTCAAGTGCTGCTTCTTACTTGGTGACTTTGGGAAATTTATTGAACCTTCGAACCTCAGTTTCCACCTCTGTAAAATGGGAGTAACAATACCAGGATTAATGTAAGGAGTGAATGACATAATGTATATCAAGCAAGCCTCATGCTTTAATATTATTGTCTGATGAGCTCTCCCTAGCATGTGTGGGAACAGAAATTTTCTAATGAAATGGTCACTCATGGTATGGTCACATGGCTTTACTTTGTATACTGGGACAGTATTATTAAATGTTTAGAATATATGTTGCAACTTATTTACTCCCTTTGGAAAATGATATGCCAGGAACAGCTGAGTTTTGAAGAACTGATGACACATTAACTGAGAATGAACATAGAGTAATGCCGAGAACTGGTACATTTATTGTGCACCAGCTCACAATCAGTCGAGATTCTTGGATGAATGGCAAGCTTTCCTTTCCAGAATTCCAGTCTATTTTCGTCAGCCAGGAGAGGTGATATGGCTTATTTTGTAATAATTCTTGTAATCCTATGATGATGTGCACATTCTAAATCTGTCAATGAGTTAGCTAAGATGTAGTATTATGCTTTTCTGGATATTTAGGGGTAATATCTGAGTTGCTAGATGAACTATGGAATTGTTAATATGTTTTGCAGAAGGGATCAGGAACAGGTATTTAACTGTGTTTTAGGAAAACTAGCAAACATCATGAATATGAAATTTACGAGTCTTAAAATCAAATTAGGAAAAATATAGGAATATGGCTTTGGTAGTAAATATGTTCTCCCCTGCAGGGGATTGTGAATTCTAGAAGAAATGGAATGTTGTGTAGAGCTATCACTGTCTGCAGCAAGTAACAAAACTGCTCTTCCTCATCTCCTTCCCCCTTTGGATTGTTTTTTCATCCCTTTCACCCCTTTTGCCCACCCCTCACCTCAGGCAAACACCAATCTATTCTCTATATCCATGAGCTCAGGGTTTTTTGTTTTCGTTTTGTTTTTATTTTTAAGATTCTATATATAAGTGAGATTATACAGTATTTATCTGTCTCACTTGTTTTTTATTTTCTGTCTCACTTGTTTCACCCAGCATAATTTATGGTTCTTGAAGAATTGATCCATTTTATCCAAATTGTCAGATTTATAGAGTTGCTTATAGTATAACCTTACTATGTCTTTTGATGTCTTCAGCATCTGGAGTTATATTCCCTTTCCTTTCTGATATAATTTGTCTTGTCTCACTTGTTTCTTTGACAGTCTATCTTGAGATTTATTAACTTTATTAAACTTTTTCTATAACTCAATTTTGGTTTGGTTGATTTTCTCTACTTCGTTCAGTTTTGTCTTGCATTTCATTGATTTCTGCTCTTGTATTTATTTTCTTCCCTCTGCTTGCTTTGGGTCTATTTTGCTCTTCTTTTTCTAATTTTTCTGAGGTGGAAACTTATTTATCTGAGATTCTTCTTCTTTTCTAATATAAGGATTTAATATAAATTTCCTTCTAAGTATTGCTTTAGTTCATAGATTTTTGTATATTCTGTTTTTATTTCCAGTCATTTCAGTGTATTATTTATTTCCCTGAGAATTCCCCTTTGACTCATGGAGTATTTAGAAGTGTCTTATTTTTTTCAAATGCTTGGATATTTTCCAGTTACTGTTCTGTTATTGATTTATAGATTTTTTTTCTATTATTGTCAGAAAACATATTCTGTGATTTCAATTTTTTAAAATTTGCTAAAATTTATTTTATGGCCTAAGATAGTGTCTATCTTGGTGAATGTTCAATGTGTACTTGAAAATAATTTATATTTTGCTATTGTCAGAGTGTTCCAGAAATGTCAACTAGATCTTATTGGTTGATGGTGTTGTGCAATTAGTCTATATCCTTGCCGATTTTCTGCCAATTTCTGAGATAGCGGTGTTGGAGTCCCCCAAATATAATTGTGATGTGTCTGTTTCTCCTTTTGGTTCTGTCCGTTTTTGCTTAACCTGCTTTGAAGCTCCGTCATTTGGTGTATGCACAATTTAGAACAATTTTTTCTTAGTGAATTAACCTTTATGTCATTTAGTCCCACTTTATCTAGCAATTTTCTTTGCTTTGCAATCTACTTAATCTGATATTAATATAACCAGTCCAGCTTTCTTTCAATTAATATTTGAATGGTACTCCTTTCCTCATCTTTTAACCTACTTATATTGTTGTATTGAGGTGAGTTTCTTATAGTCAGCATAATATTTATCTACTTTGCTAATATGGCTTTAATTGGTATATTTTATTGGTGTATTTAAGGTAATTACTAACATATTAGGACCTAAGTCTACCATTTTATTATATTTTTAAATGTTTGTTCTCTTTATTGTTGTTGTTGTTGTTGTTGTTACTATTTCCCTTTTCCTGCCTTCCTTAGGGGGTTACTTAAAAAAATTTTGGTAATTCATCATATTAAATATGTGTGTGTGTGTGTGCATGTGTACATATATATATATGGGGTTGCTCTAGGAATTATAATATGCATATGTAACTAATCACATTCCACTAGTATAAATATTACTACTTTACTATAGGTTCAGGATCCAAATCTAGGTGGAATTCAACATTGTAGTTCACTTCTAAAATCTTTTGTTGCGTTGACTCTGGTTGGTTTCATGCATTGGTCACTTGAGAATCTTTTTAAAACCTCATAAACTTATTTAAATAGTAGTAAATAGTGGAATATAGAAAACTTACCATTTAGATCTCTTTATAAATCTCCCTTTTTGAATATAGTTGTGTTAAATGTTTCCTCTACCTACACAGAGAATCATATCAGAAAATACTAAAATTCTTGCCTTCAACCACCAAAGGGAAGGATAGTCTATTATATTTTCTGTGTATCTATGTCTTCCATTGTCCTTTCTTCATTCCTAATGTTCCAAATTTTCTCTGTTATTGCTTCCTTTCTGTTTGAAGAATTTCCTTTGACAACCATTTTAAGGAAGATCTATTGGTGTCAAGTTATTTTAGTTTCCTTCATCTGAGAATGTGTTTCACTTTCATTTCTAAAATATATTGTTGAATATAAAATTCTGCATTAAAAGCTCTTTTCTTTCAGCATTTAAGAAATATGGTGCCACTCCCTTTAGGCTCCGTGGTTTTTGATGAGAAATATACTGTCATTCTGATTGCTGTTCCTGTATAGGTAATATGGCATTTCTCTCTGAATGCTTTTGGTACTTTTTATCTTTTAGTTTCAAAAATTTTTCGATGATGTGTCTTGGCATGAATTCCTTGGGTTTATCCTGTTTGTAAATTCCTCAGATTCTTGATCTACTTTCAAATTCTTTCCCTTGTCATTTTCATTCTGCTATTGAGCCATTCAATGAACTTTCTAATTTTAATTTTTCAGTTAAAAAAATTCAATTGATTCTTCTTTACATCTATTTCTTTTCTGAGACTCTATTTTTTCATTTGTTTCAGAGTGTTTATAATTGCTTACTGAAACATTTTTATAATGACTGCTTTAATATTTTTGACAGAATCTTTTCTTTTCTCACTGAGGTGAGGTATTACTGGCTCTTGGTGTAATGAGTAATACTTGATTATATTTTGGACTTTTGGAGGTATTATGAGAATCTAATTCCTTAAATCTTCTAATTTGGCAGGTAGTTACCCTGTTTGTTACCCTATTTGGGTTTAGAACATACATCCTGGTCTACTTTTGATTGATCGATTGATATTTTTGTTGAAATGTCAACTAAATTTTCAGAGCATTTGCAGTGCTATTCTGGTCTGCCCCACTTGTGTGCTACTTAGAGGCCAGTCTGAGTCCTAGTCAGCATTTCACACTGAGTTCACTTATAAAACCTTTTGCTGTTTGATTCTGGTCCATTGAATGCATAGATCACTTGGGAGCTTCCCCAGTATTTCATATACATTGTTCCCTTCTCTAAGTAATCTTTTCTACTCTTTCTATCTGGGAAAAGCACTGCTTCATTACCATAAGGTGGCAATGAAAGTCTGAGCACCACCCACAGTCTGTGAACACTTCACCCACAGGCTGGTAGGAAGGGGCATGTGTGTCACCTCATTATTAGGGGACGGGGATGGAAGTTAGGTCTCTGTCCACACTGTGCTGGCCATAGTACCCAGAGAGAATGGAAAGGGCGTGGTTTATTTGTGGAATTTGTCTGGAGCTTGACAGGCACCGTCAAAAGGATTCTGTCCTGCTCTTTGCTTCCCCTTTCCTGGTCCTTTGTTTACATAGAGCAGTCTTTTCATGGGACTTTTATTTCGTCTGCCTATTTTGTTAGTATTTCTGGGTTCTTGCATTTTCCAGTCCCCAGGTTAGGATGTATAGGTGGAAAAATAAAACAGAGAACTCACCTTCATATCCTTTTTTGAGTCTTGAAGTCTCTAGCTAACTTGCCTTATGTTTCCTTTCAGGGTCTTCTGTTATTTGTTTCAGATATTTTGTCTAGGATTTTAAGCTATAGTTTTTAGCTATATAGGAAGGAATAGGGTGGATGTGTTTATTCCATTTTGTCTGGAAACAGAAGTCACACAGCCTAGGTCTTTGTTCTGAATAACTAGAAGAATAGAATCGCCATCAACTGAGGTGGAGAAAGCTATGGGTAGAAGAGGTTTGTAAATGAAGAACAGTGCTTCACTTTTGGTTTTGTTGAGTTTGAGATATCTACCATTTGACATGCGAAGATATTGAGAGGGTAATTAGACATCCAAGTTCAGAATTTAGAAAAGATATTTGCGTTGGTGATATAAATTTGGTGTAATAAGATATATACATGTTTTTTAAAGCCATGGACTGAATGAGATCACCAAGAGGGAGGAAACCAAGTACATTAAGAGGGCAGGGAAAGGAGAAAGAACCAGCAAGTGCAACTGAGAAGTAGGAGCTAGTGAGGCAAGAGGAAAGTCTGTGGTATCATGGAAACCAATCGATGAAGAGTATTTCAAGAAAAAGGGAGAAATCACCTCTGTCAAATACTGCTAATCAAAGATGAGTTTTGTGAATTAAATTCAGCATTGAATTTCACAATGTAGAGGTTATTGGTGACTTCGGTAAGAAGAGGTTAAGTGAATGGTAGGTGAGAGAAAGCATTATTGGTATGGATTTATGAGGCAATGGAATAGAGGAATGAGATCAATCATGAATAAAGAGTCCTTTTGAGGACTTGTGTTACAAAGAGCAGCAAATTAATGAAGAAGTAGTTGGCACAGGAAGATGGGTTAAGAAATGGTTGGGGGTAATGGTTTGACTTGTGTTTTTTAGAAGGAAACAATATCATGCATGTTGTTTCCTTCTAAGAATGATCCATTGACAGAAAAAATGATATAGTAGAAAGAGAGGAGAAATGTCAAAGTGATTCCTTGAGTAGACGAGAAAGAATGT